GCGGAAACGTTCGTTCGGACGTGTATGATAACGGGCGCCGGGCACAACTCCCCCTGTGACACGTACTAAGTACATAGCCAATGTCAAAAACCCTTCAATCCGTATATAACTTTGCCCAGCGATGCCGTATCATGTTGAAACTTAACACAATGCTAGTAGTGTTTGAAATCTACTAGATACTTGTGGATATGTATGTGATGCTAGTATATTGGATTTTTTGGTTAAAAATGCACATTTTGGTTAAAAAATACATAGCTCACTTCATATACTCACAACACTATTGGCATCTATATTCTACAAGATAAGGGTTCACCTCCAATACTTTTACCTTGTCCGCGGCTATTTTGGTTTTAGTGTTGGGATCTTTTAAAAATGTATTCAAAAATGTCCCTTTTGCTCTTTTTGGCCTCAAAAACGTTAAAACGTTTACCGTGTTGATATCAAATGGTTTGCTGACAATAGTATAGTCAGAAAGGACATTGTCCATCGACTAATTCTTTTGTTTAAAGTTTAAAACATTCTGTGTTTTGTTTAATATAAACGAAAAGGTGTAAATCTTGTGTATGAAAACCTACGATAACATCCCATTTGTATAGTTTATAAACTGAAAAGAAGTTTGCGTAATATATTTAAAATGTACTTTCTTTGGCATCTCAAAATGGCTTATTGGATACTTTCCTGAACATCTTGACAAAAAAATAGTTTCTGTATACAAATAAAGCATTAGACCCACTGGTGCAAAACCACACCATAGCATCTTCCAGTACCACTATGGCACATTTATGTCTCAGTCATGTTGTGAGGAGACCACCTGTCCAAGGAGATCGCTTTTCTTCGGTCCCCTGGGTGGTCGCCTTGGGCAGGTTTGACTGTATATGTATTACACGACACTGCTGTTCATGTGCTAGTAGATATCTTTCAGCACATTGCTGTTTCTCCCAAGTCAACGTGCCAAAAAGTGGAAATAAGAGCTGGTAGCCAGACCATGTGTTATTTTATCGTACATCTCAACCCTCCTCCACCAAAGGCTATTGACATGTTGTTCAGATGTAATATTATGCATGTATGTTTGTCTTTACAACTGAACTGAATGTGTGATGCTCCCCAAATAATAACCTAGGACTAAGACAAGGCCTACCCAGCACTAGACTTGATTACGTGTGTTCCTGTGTTATTGCATGTACTAGTAAATCAATGAATTTACTTGCTTGACAATCAGGATTCACTCCCTCGATGAGATAGGGATCTCTGCCGGTGTTGTAAGGTAAGGTGTTAGGGCTAGGGTTAAAGTTAGGGTAGGTGTTCGGGTTAGGGTTAGTATCATTGTTCCGGGCTAAGGGTACACTTACGATTGGGGTTAGGTTAGGTTTAGTCTCCCACATCACGACTTAACCCCTCCAATCCCTTGGGTATGTCTTGGGTATATTAGAAACCCCCAAGTAGTGTCGGAGCCATATATTCGGCTGGGTGATGTATATGGCTTGACACCGGCAGAATCAGTGACTTTGCCGGGCCGCGATCTCTACACTGACATTTACTACACGCACATTTGTACTGTACTACTCAAAATCAAACTCCAGACCAGTTCCATCCAGCCTGAGCTTGTGCTTGGCATCATAGGCTTCATTTTGCTCCGGCGTGAACATGCTCTTCCAATCGCCAATGATACCTGCAAGGAACAAAAATCAAAACAATATCAAATTATTACCTTCACCAAGGTTATATTTTGATATTCTTCATGGGGTTTGTTGTTTGTCTGTGTGCGTTTGTTTGCAAAAACGATTATTCTAAAAGGCTTACATAGTTTGTCTTATAATATAAATTTGGATAGGTCTTGATGAGACTTCAAAACTATTAGTTATTGCACGCAGTGCTACATAAAATCAAAACATATATATACAAGTACAAGCTAAGTCTCCACCATGTGCATTGTGCAAGTACAAGTCTACACAACACCATGTGCAAGTACAGGTCTACACCTGCTATCAAATACGGCGATATAATGTTTATTTTTTTAAAATTTACCTTACCTTACCTTTTCTGCAGATGAGTTTTTTCATAGCTAATTCTGATTTGCCCCAAGATGCCTTCAAACTGTCGAAAGTGCATGACTCGGCGATGTTGGTGACGGCAGCGTCGTCCAGGCTGGTCTCCAGGAAGGATGCAACTTCGCTGACCACACTACGCAGGTCCTATGAGAACAAAACAAAAAACACAGTCGATGTCACTGCCGGACATTACAATTCAAAAGTTGTCTTTTTTTCAATACGTTTGCTCAGTACAAGGCCACATAGACCACTTCTGAAGTAAAGCTCACCGAAGCAGCATCTCGTCTTCGTGAGTCAGAAACATCTATCTTAGGCAAGCTTAGCGGACTAGTCAAAGCAGGGGTTACGAAAGAATCATGGTGAACTTTATGAACATGTAAGCGATGAAGAAAAGTTCATTAGAAGAGTCTTCAATCAGTTCACGGGAATAGCAATGTGGATCGGTGTGTTAACCACGTGCAAGTTTGATCTTTCTTGAGCGACACTATTGGCACTGCTGTCAGTCTTTCAATTAATAAATAAGTACTTAGTCGTTAATTTACTAATAACAACATTGATATCAATAAGATCAATATCTGTCAAACATCTTTCAAGTACGACCTGAATACAAGACGACATATACCTGGATGATTTACATTATGTGTATAAGTTTAATCAGAAGAAGAGATACGATGGGAAAGATGTTTCAGTATTGCTCGGCATTTTCAGGTGTGAAATGTTACCTTCTTCATGTCTTCATACTTGATGAAGAAAAAATGGCGGTCATCCTTCATCTGCCACCAGCCGAGGACGTGGTCGTAGAAGTCACCAAAAATGCCTTAAGTCGGAAAAAAAAGATTTTTTTTTTGTTTTAGAAAACTAGATAGTTTTGAACTTTGAATATCATTTAGCAACTTCATTTCCATTCACCAATATGTGATATCACTTGCGTACAAGAGTCTTGTGCAATATCTTACAGTTGCCAAGATGGTAATTTTACGGGTCTGTATGCATTTATGGGTGCTTGTTTCTTGTAAGTTTTGTAGAGGGCATACCTGCTTGTTAAGACAGTTTGGCAGAGTTTACGATTAGAAATTTGGACTTGACACTTGCTCGGGAGAATTTTATTTGTTTGAAATCTCTTTGGTGCTATGACACCATATTGCGATTGCTTGTTGCAATTACCTTTTCCTTTAAGAAAGACCTCTGCATACCCTTCCCAAGATTCGAGACGTTTTTTGATAGCATCACAACCGCCGTACGTCTCTACCATTTTCTTGTTATAGTGGTACAGAGACACAGCCGTGTCTTTCGGGTTCCTCATCACTACAATTACTTTTATCTGAAAACAAAGAAAAGAGGACTGTGTGAAGACATTTTCAACATGTGTATGAAATCTTATGTATTATGCATAATTTCTGAACAAATGCATTGGTGAAAGAGGCAAAACCGTGTAAGACCAAACGGGACAGTGATAGACAGCCGATTAAATCTACGAAAAAAACAACGTCAGACTGCTCTTCTATCCTGCACGCCAATATGGCGGATTCAGAGTACGAGTCCTAACTGCGCATGCGTGGCGAGATGGATTGTGGGTACTATTCAGATTTGAAGGTTCTGAGACATAAACAAAACACGTCTGGACATGTCACAGACCTTTATTTTAATCTTATTTATTGCGAAACCTATTCAAATTTGACTTTTATTCATTTTATTTCACAAATATTCATTTACATATAGTAAGGACTTATTGTCCATTGGTAAATGTATTAGTCGACTAAACATCAATTTTCTTTCCAATGACGTGGGCAGCCTCGGTTGCAACGTTCAAAACATGTTGGACGGACTATGACTATCGACTATAGAATGTAACGCTATCATCTATCAACTGTCACCATACATGTATGTTATATCATATCGGGGGTGTGCTAGATCCTTAGATACTTTCTTTTATTAATCTTGATGAGTGGACTTGGGTAGAAGCAAGGGGTTTCCTTAGTAGAAGAGTGTATTTCAATATTAGACAAAGGTTGTGAAAAAACAATCCCGGTACCTTTCCTGTAGGATTGGCGACCGTTTTGGGGGCCAGGTGCCGTTGTAGGTGTGTGTGGATTATACGTGGAGATGGCGCGTCTTTCATAAGTTCATGACGTGGTTTTTCATCTCCCGGCATATGCAGTTCGAAACACCACATGGAGTGTTCTTCAGGAGTAGCCATCTTTCCGGCAGCTTTCATGACCTTGCTCACTATCTCTATCATCCAGTTCGTACCTGATAAAATAAAAATTCAAATTAAGGGAACCTGTCAGATACAAAACTACAACATGCAGTAGCTAAATACATAAGCTAACATTGCTAGGACTTCTAATACTAACAATCAACATGGGTTCTAAAACTACTCTTTGATACCAAACCGACTTGTGTTTTGATTTTGAAATTGATGTTCTTTATGTTTTATTATCATATAGCCGGGTGACGTTGACCAATCAGAAGGCTCCATTCCACATTCCTTATGTCGCCATAATGTCACAAATAGAGTCAAAACTGGGTCTTTATTCATCCCAATCCATACATTAAACAACCCAATAATCACCCACATATGACCTCAGGTGACCCAAAAAGAACACCCCTTTGTTCTAAAAAATCCAAAAATAACTTGAATTGTGTTCCAGTGACCTCGGGTGACTCCCATAAGAACACCTGTGAAACTGCCTTTGACCCAGATAGAACACGCCCTCTCCAGTGACCTCGGGTGACTCCGGATGGAACACAATGTTCTATTTAAGTTTGCATGTGTTGAACAGGAATGTGTCACTCTTTACTGTGTAAGTTTTGATGGGTTATATGATAATAGCGTTAATGGTCTGCCCTTTCTCGGTGAATATAGTGTGATAAAGCCTTGTCAGTTGCTATAACCACCTCATAAATCCACCTCGTTCGCTGTGCTCACTCAGTGGCTTTATTCGGTGGTTATAGCAACTGACAAGGCTTTATCACACCATATTCACCTCGGGGCGGGTCATTAACCCTTAATTACTATTCCTTTATGTATTATATTAAATCTGATTTGTATTTCTTGCTTCAAGAAGGTCGCAAAGTTTTTTGAACGCTACTCATAATTATTACGCAGCTGTTTACAGAGCAAATTGGGTTAAACCAGGTTGAACATGATGAAAGGCAACCGCTTTCAAACGCGATAAAATTACGAAGTTCTAGAGAACGCCATACGATAAAGATACAGCTCACCTGCTTTTGGGTAGGTCACGATGAAAATGTCGTCATCACGGACAGGGTAGTCAGGAATGACATCCAAAGTTTCCTTAGAAATTTCACCAGGAAACCTAATACCTTGGTACTCGTGTTCCTGCATGTTTACAGCGCTTTGGTGACCCTTAGATAACCTGAAGATTGACGTGAATAGACAATGTATGAAGTGGCTTCACGGGAGCAACTGAAAAACAATCTGATTCTTTTGCTTTAGGATACTGGAAACAAACTATGAAATGATTTCTGTATAATGAATATGTTATTTCTGTAAGAACACCAGTGTTATGCTTGTTCCTGTGAACCACTAGTACTGTACGTTGTCGACATGCTGTAGTGAGCATATGAAGCGTGTTTACGACCGTACAGTAACAAGCTTGGGGCAAGAGGGAGGGGGGCGGACGTGATCAAAAATTTGAGGTGATGAAATTTTAGCGATGAAACAATGACCGCTAAAGTCGCTATAATTAAGTGACCGTTATCAAATCAGGAATTGCAGTAGGTACACAAAGTAAACGTAGTGGTACCCCCAAGCAGACTACGTTTCAAATGGTAGCAACACCAGAAAGGACACTGGCATGTCAACAGGTGAAGAAAACAGGTCAAGACGCCAAGGCACGTCTGTTAACAATGAAGCGAACACGCAAATAATATCAATCCCTTCCATAGATTTTCTCATGTACGCTGTGAATCACAGTATAAACAATGCAACGACAAACCACTCTTATAGTTTAGGTTATAGCAAATGACACATACTTCGTCTAAAAGAGACCGGTGACTCTTAACTGTGAGGCCCTGCTTGGCTGGAATGTGGACAAACGGGCTGGATAAACATTCTGGACTGATCACGTGAAGAAGGTTCACCCCTGACCGACAGGGCACTTGAGGTAAGCTTTGTTTCTCATGTGAACCTTGTTTCTGAGGTAAGCTTTGTTTCTCAGGTGAACCTTGTTTCTGAGGTAAGCTTTGTTTCTCAGGTGAACCTTGTTTCTGAGGTGAGCTTTGTTTTTCAGGTGAACCTTGTTTCTGAGGTGAGCTTTGTTTCTCAGGTGAACCTTGTTTCTGATGTGAGCTTTGTTTCTCAGGTGAACCTTGTTTCTGAGGTAAGCTTTGTTTCTCAGGTGAACCTTGTTTCTGAGGTGAACCTTGTTTCTGAACAAATTCTGTGCTCGGTCCACGAAAGGAGTTTGCAAGGTGCCCGGGGTTGTATCAAACCTCTGTGATCTACGCTCGACACCATACACTAAGCACACTGTAAGAAACTGGCTCCCTCCTACGCGAGGAGACATCAGCTCAAGAGACACTAGAAACAAGCACCGCCTGACTGGGATAAGAACTAAGACAAAAAGATACCAGAACAGTCCAATTCCTTTCATGACTCGCCTCCTGAATGAAACAGATCTGTGATCAAATATTGTTCTAATGCCCGACGTAAATGACATTTACCTATACCCATTTTTATCTGTAGAACGTTATATTTACCTTGTGTACCTTTAAATATATGTGTGTGTCGTTAAGTACTCCGACGTATCTGTCATACAACCTACCTGTTTTAAGGTAGTGTTTCTTATGTTTTAGAATTGTTAATTGAGAAAGATGAGTTTTTGCCACTATTTCGAGTCTACTTTTAACTGTTTTTAAATGTAAAAAGTACGCAATTCAGCCCATGGCTGCGATGTACTTTATCTGATCAAAATGATCGAATAAACCATTCATTCATTCATTCATTCATTCATTCATTCATTCATTCATTCATTCATTCATTCACACTGCTTTTGTTGGAACACCGATTTCAACAAAAAAAACTTGGTGGCCTACCGCCTGTAGTGGGACACGCAATCTAGGTTCATAAACGTTAAGATACTAATAAATGGGGTATTATGGGTACAACACCATCGTAATTATGTCATCATAGGATGTAATAAGTCATCCATTAGAACTAAAACAGATACTGTGACAAAAACATAAGGGTGATCTGAAAGCAACTGTATTCTCTAAACCAGTTCAAGAAACTGTAAAAAAAAAAAATACACTGTCAGGTACTTCACCGGATATTTACCACCATCTTGATATCAAATGGTTTGCTGACAACAAAATAAAGAGCATATGACTTCAAGTCACTCTTCTGCTATGTATAACTTAACAAATCCTATCTCTTATTACAAATGATACGGTGTACATCAGGTGTACGGAAACCTACAAAAACATCGAGTTTGTAAAATGAATTACATAATGAAAATATACCTTCTTTGGTATTTCAAAATGACATTTTTGATACTTTCCTGTTTTCTGTCTATAATTAAAGCAATAGACCTGCTAGTGCAAAAACACACCATCGCACCTTCCAACACCTCTATGGCACATCATTGTAGCACTACACTTTACCACAGAACTAAAATGTGGCAATGAGCCATCAAACTCTCACAGATTGAAATCTAATTCTATAAATTCTGTTGAGCTAGCCAGTCTTGCTTTTCTTTCCGGGGCTTCTCTTCCAGAATCTCCACCATCGTGAAGCCGGCCTCTCACCCCCAGTTGCAGCTGTTGTCTGTCTGGACGTCTCGCCCTCATCATTACCAGGAGTCTGTCTGCTGGACTTTCGTGACTTCTTACGCCTAAACAGTGAGCTGCAGAGCCCCCTGAAGCATCCGTAGCTCTGCTTTGGCTCGTCCGCCATCTCCACAACAGTCAAGACATTGGCACGCTGCTTCTGTTCCTCCATTACAAAGGGAATGGTGAGCTGCTTCTGCTCCTCAGTCATCACAGTGCCGACCTGCTTCTGCTCCTCAGTCATCACAGTGCCGAGCAGCTTCTGCTCCTCAGTCATCACAGTGTCGGGCAGCTTCTGCTCCTCAGTCATCACAGTGCCGGGCAGCTTCTGCTCCTCAGTCATCACAGTGTCGAGCAGCTTCTGCTCCTCAGTCATCACAGTGTCGGGCAGCTTCTGCTCCTCAGTCATCACAGTGCCGGGCAGCTTCTGCTCCTCAGTCATCACAGTGTCGGGCAGCTTCTGCTCCTCAGTCATCACAGTGTCGGGCAGCTTCTGCTCCTCAGTCATCACAGTGTCGAGCAGCTTCTGCTCCTCAGTCATCACAGTGTCGAGCAGCTTCTGCTCTTTGGTCATCACAGTGTCGGGCAGCTTCTGCTCCTCAGTCATCACAGTGTCGGGCAGCTTATGCTCCTCAGTCATCACAGTGTCGGGCAGCTTATGCTCCTTAGTCATCACAGTGCTCTGCTGCTTCCTCTCGTCAGCTATCTTAGTGCTCTGCTGCTTCTGCTTGTCAGCCTTGGAAGATGAGAGCGCCTTCTGCTCTTCATTGGCAACGGCACTTGCGGGTACATTCAACACGTTATTCAACGTACCGAAGCAGTTCTCCGTAGTTGGCTGTGGACAAAAAAAAGGCCATTATTGAAAGGCAAACCGGTCTTTTACTGTGTTCAAAGCTTGTCATTTGTGTGTGCGGATGTGTTTTTGTGTGTGTGTGTGTGTGTGTGTGTGTGTGTGTTGTATAAAACATCCATTATGAGAGTGTATATGCAGGCGTGTTCGTGTGTGCAAAATACTAATCTGATTTTGAACCTACAAAACTAAAAAGCCCGTAGTTCTGTTTTCTCCATTTCTGTCGACCATTTCACCAGTTACCTTCCAAGGTAGTACTTTAAACGTTATGTGTGGTCCCTCAGCAAAGTTTTGATTTCAGATTTTAGATCATATTTTGTTGCCTGTACTTTTTACACTAATCCAAGACAGTTTCTGCCACACACGTTGATCAAATAAGTCTATTAAGAAGGGATTATAACATGTAATAGTCTACAATAGACTGAACTGCCAAAGAATAATAATAAGAAGAAGATGTAAATAGACTACTTCTATATTCAGGTTTTCATCTACCTCTAAAAACTGATCTTGTCATAGCTCAAATTTTAAAGGACCAGAGCTGAAAATTTATAATAACGTTAAGGGGGCACACCCCAGTTTATTTGGGGCCTCTATTCGAAGCTGCACACCCTCAAATCTAGCGACCGTCTCTGGCGTGGAAAAATTCGGAAGGAGAATAACTGTATATGGGACGAAAGGGCATCTCTTCAGCTACAAGACAAGCTGAGTTTGGTTTCTTCAACCTTTTTAAGTTTGGTAAAATCAACGGAAAAAACATTATTTTCACTCCAAAATTTATGCCCAAAATTGCGAATTTTCGCGTAGGATAATCCCACAAAAAAAATTTTCCGGCAGAAATGACTGATGCTGGCAGAAAGACCCAAGCCTTGACTATACCCGAGTAAATTATAAAGAAAATTCTAGTACTGTAATTTTCTAAACAGTCCACGGCGCGAGGGGTTGCAAATCCACCCCTACGAAGCCGCAGAGCGAAAACAAGGTCAAACGGGCGGATTACACTTGGCGCGCAAGGATACCCGGAAGTAAGGTTCGGAGCCAAAAGAAATTTTCACCCCAAAATCACCATTTCTTACACTCTTCAGCCATGTTAATGTTTAATGATACTTCGTGGCAGTTAATAAGAAATGTCACCTCAAACTTGGACCCTCAAAACCCTTTCGTCACTTTTTTACAACGGACTATCGTGGAAGAACTGGGGTGTGCACCGTTAAGCTGATTGTATTTACCATGCTCGAGTCGTAGAACCAATGCCCGCTGGAGGACCTGTACTTATACTCGTAGCGGCCAGGAGCAACCTTTATCACAAAGGTATACTCTTCACTGTCACTGCAAAAACAAAACCACAAACATTATGTTAAGGGACTTATGAAGCCCCAAAGAACAGATTAAACCATGAAGAAAAAGGACGCTTCTGCTGTTTATTCTTTTGAAACTTGAAGTAAACAATTTTGCCTCTTGACGTTTTCTCACGTTAATCATGATGTACAAATGTAGCACTGTGGAACTTACAGACTACTACTGTAACACAGAAAGCACTGCCACCAGAGCACAAGCCATGTTTGTTTTGTTTTGTTTTGTCTTGTTTTGTTTTTTTGTTTTACTTAAATTTTTACCTGAAAACAAGGCTCATACGAACCACCTACAAGTTTTGGGTTATATTAAGGAACCATAGAGACAGATGTTTGTTCACCCTAGACTTGAAGTTTAAGGTTGTACCCATATGGGAATCCTTCACAAGGAAGCTTTCAATGCGGAACCTTTTCCTGAGAGATGAAGAATGGAGGGGAAAAGGGTGATTTGCTTCCCTAGTAGTGGCTATAGCAAAGCGTGTCCTGACCGAGAAAGTTCGGCGTGCACAAGCGAATGATAGCATGGTAACAATCAGAACTAGAGAAGTAGCATTTGCAAAGCAAATGCGTAATGTTTACCTTCGGACATGGTCTGCCCTGTTAATTCTTACTGAAACACATTCACATACATGTACTACTAGTATGGTGACAGGAGCAGAGCAGACCATGAAATTGCAACATTATGTAACCCAACACCAGTCACCATGGTGACAGACGTCAACAAATCATGTTATTGGCCAGGTCAGAGGTTAGTGTTTGGAACAGAAGATGAGGAGGAAGAAACTGAGTAAAAACAATATGTTTTCCTTCGGTAAACATAACAAGAACCGAAAGATTTAGAAACAGTAGCATACCTTACCTCGTAAGACTATTGAACAAAAACAACAATCTGTCATGACATGGTAACCGCTTAACTATGATCGCAACCTATTGTAAATACTTTTAATAATTTGCTGTTTTTAACTGTTGTTAAGAATTGCTTTTAATATCTGTGCCAACAGTTTTTAATAACCTGCAGATCAAGGACCCTGCTACTCTGTACCGTACAGTCTGAAAGAAATAAACCAGTATTAAACGGGTGGGCATGATCGGTGATGACACTGTCTCACCTCTTAGTGACCTTCCCTCCGTTTCTCCAAGCGTCCCAGCTCCCGAAGACACGGGTTTCCTCAGACAGAACACCTCTCCAGACAACAGTCACTGTCTTAGACTCTGCTAACTCCGTCTGGAAACAGAGACAGGTTTAGTCAACATGTTATAGAACTTAAACTTCCACTTAGGCCATGTTTATTGAATGAATGAATGAATGAATGAATGAATGAATGAATGAATGAATGAATGAATGAATGAATGAATGAATGAATGAATGAATGAATGAATGAATGAATGAATGAATGAATGAATGAATGAATGAATGAATGAATGAATGAATGAATGAATGAATGAATGAATGAATGAATGAAATACCCTTATTGTACGTTTGTGCTCTAACAAGCTAAGTACAGGTCATGAATAGATAAGGAAAAGGATACAACAATGATACTTAAACTATGTAGATCTAATGTAGATCTAATGATACATGGTTTGTCAAGTTTCATAAGAAATATGATTTTTTTTCTGATTCATTTAAATGTCCAAAGCTGGGGAACTTATCTATTGTATAAGAATATAGGAAATCTCTCTCATTACTATACAACGTACAATCGACTACGAAATGATACTTATCCTCAATGATACTCATCCTCATCCTCAATCTTATCTAAGTCGCAAAATTGGCAAATCCTTTGCTCTCGAGGATTATATGGATCGAACCTCAAAACTGATGGGGGCGTGAGAATCCTCATAATAAAGAAAAATTTGGCAAAAAAAGTTTCCTTTATTATGAAGTCTACGGGGTCATGAAGGTTGAACAAATCAACACAGAGTGTATGGTATATCGAATAATGGAATCTTAATTTAGATTTCTGCACATTTTCGTCTTTTCCTTGTCATCCGTATCAAACCAACATGGCTTTATCTTTAGAAACTCGCTCACAGTCCTGTAAAAAAGACTGCAGGTACTCGCTGAAACGTCTGACTCTATCAGAGACTAGTATTACTAGTGTAAATAGCACAAGTAGAACACCCCCGGGTTAGAATGGTACAACCCACCACCCCCGGTGGTGAGTAGGCTAGTCCACTTCTTGGAACCGGTTGTATCCAGTTCAGTCTATGTTCTCTCAAGAATACACACTACTGCAAGTACACCTCTCGTCTCCTCTCATCATTCCCTAACCTTGGGGTGGGGTACAGGGCTAGGAAATGGTTCGTTACACTAGTATGTACCGTCACTGTATGTTACAAGTTCTAATCTGTCTACAAAAGAATATTGATCTATTACAATCAGTCTAACGGAGAGCAAGTAAACTTGAGCTCCAAGGTCTCTCTTATAAACTATGACAGGCTTATATGATTAACCCTTGTCCTGCTGGCAATTTTTACACAATATTTTCAAATAATTTCATGTCTTAATCAGGTCACAGACCCTTGACTTTTTTTGCCCTACGGTGGCGTAGTTACTTCCGCATTCGTTGCGGTGTGATGCGTTGCACAAGAAACACCCCCAAATCGCACATATACAGGGCACTATATAGATGGTACTGTATGTGCAACCCATATATATGGGCCCCGCAGGACAATTAACATGATTATATGATTTAAACTGACACATATCTTCAGAAACTCGCACACAGTTCAGCAACAAAGGACTACAGATGCTCTCTAATTTGATACTAGTTAAATGATTTGTAGGGTGTCAAAATATACATTCTGTTACAAACTTTTGTATTTACCTGTGACGTTGTGTCTCCATGATCATATACATAGTCTGAACCTCCTGCTTTTTCAGCCAGGGGGCGTTCTTCTGCAGACTTCCTCGTCATTTTCTCAGCTAGATGGATGCTTCTCAGTAGTAAAAGCTATCAGAGAATGAATACGTCAGGATGGAACATTGAAAAATCTTTTCACTTTTACCCTAGATATCCAAACCTCGCGATAGATGTCAGAACTAACGTCTGTTTTATGTTTAGAGGAATATAAGTTGTTCTAGAACGGTCTGTTTCTGTGACGCAGCACTGAAGCCCACCAGATGTTAAGCACCGTTCTAGAACAAGTTTTGTTACACCGCGTTTTTAACCTCTGTCATCTGATATAGACTAATTCATGAATTTGTGGTCAACTATATTAATAGTTCTAAAATAGGATGATCTTTACATGCACATGTGATACTAGTATATAGATACATCAATACATATGCAGCAGTCTTGCATTGTTGTTTAGTATGTTAGCGCTACTCGATAAATGTTTGCTACGGCGCATAGCTATAGCCCTAAACGCAGTAAAGACGGTAAATATTTCACTCGTTTCTTTTAGTTCCTACAACTTACTACCCTGGATGCCAAACTAGTATCGGGCCGTTAGCCGTTTTCCTTCGGCAGCCGAGAGCCCTTCGCCCGCCTGCCTAAATTACCGCTACGGGGGAGTTGAGCCCGAGGGGAGTTGTCCGGCCAGCCAAACTCCCCCCGGGCTAGACTCCCCCGTAGCGGTAATTTACACCAGCGGGCGAAGGGCTTTTGCGGCCCGGACAGCGA